ACAATTGATTTATATTTTTTGGAAAAATTAAATCTAAAATAAAACAGATGATATAATTTTTTTTGTCAAAAGATATCATGTATTGATAGAAAAATAGACAGTTACACCCTGGAAACCAGCCAGGTCTAGAAATCGAAGAAGCGACTCATAGTCGGATACAAAGAGAGGGCTTTCCTAGCTACCAAATGAGCTACCCTATTGTTCTAGCGACCTACAAAACGCACACTAAAGCCAGGCTGAGTACGAAAATAATGTCTAATCTCTTCCAGAATAGCACCCAACCGGCTATCTCTTGTGTCGGCTTGATTAATTTTATCAATAATCACCTTCGCATCGCCCTCAAAACGGACCTCCGACAAGCCTTGTTCCACACACCAAATAATAGCTTCCCTGAGCACAAGCAACTCTACCACTAGAGGATCATCCATCTGAGAAAACTGGACCCCTCTAGCCAGAAGGAGTATCCGCGCTGGGTCAAAAAGAACTATCCCACCAGCCGAATGTGATCCACCCTTAGTAGCCCCGTCCCACATGCAAACCAAATGGGACTCATCCACTTGTGTGGTCGGTTGCATCATCGGGATTTGCACCCTAGGCGCATGGTCCGCAGGTAGGCCCACCCATTCCTCAAACTGCTGGTTAAATTGTCGCATGAGTGCTGGGATCCCAAATTGTTTGCCTTCAAAGACTACCCAATTTCGAGATCTCCAGATCCTCCAAAGGACGACAACAACAGCCATAACCACTGTCGGCTGATGAATCAACGCCAACAAACGCTTGAGAAACAAAGGAAAAGTATACCGCGGTAAACCCTCCCCCAAGTATTCCAGCTCGGTATATTTCCCAAAGAGCCCGCGCAACCGGACAATAAAGGAACAGGTGTTCCATTGTCTCCGGGCCTCCCAACAAACTGGACACCGAGGGAGCACCTGGACCTTTTTCTCAATAAGCGCCTATGTAGTCGGCAGAGCCCGGTTAAGAATTTGCCAAACAAAAACCTTAAACTTCGGAGGGATCTTCGCCTCCCAAACTCTAATCCAACTTGGCTTATCCATCCAGCTAACCGAGGATCGCCACCCACCCCTCCTCCTGTCCAAATCGACGGCCAAATGGTAAGCCGATTTAACCGAGAAAACCCCGTCGGCCGTAAAATGCCAGATAAGCCTATCAGGCACATCCCAACGCGGAAGAGGAATAGCTTTAATAGCCCTACAAGTGGGCGGATCAAACCATTGACTGAGCTTCTCATCAGACCACCTCCCTCCCCCTTCACCAATAACCTCCGCCACCAAGGGATCACCCCCCTCAGGCAAGACCCGCGGGTTATAGCACGGGGGATCTAGCTGGCACCTAGGGATCCAGTTAGCATGGAGGAGGGAGACCGATTGGCCATTACCAACCTGCCATCTCAAACCCATCTCCAATAACTGACGCCCATGAAGGATACTCTGCCACCCCCAAGAGGGACGAGACCTAGCCATCGCTGTCATGAAAGACCCTTGAGGGAAATACTTGCCTTTATAAACCTGGGCAATAAGAGATTGAGGTTCATTGAGAATACGCCAGCCTATCTTAGCCAAAAGAGCTTGGTTGAAATGTTCAAACTGGCGAAATCCCATCCCGCCATCATGCTTACTCATGCACATGTTACGCCAGGACACCCATCTAATATTAGGATTCCCGTCCTCGGCACCCCACCAAAACCGGGCCTCATGTCTATCTATTAGACAACAAAGAGCCAGAGGAAGGCGGAAACAGGACATAACATGAAGGGAAAGAGCCAATGCTATGGATTTGATCAACGTTTCCTTCGCAGCCCAGGACAACGTCCTTTGCTTCCACCCCTGAAGCCGCTCTAGGAGTTTTTCCTCCAAATATCTGAAAGTAGCCATTTTGGATCGAGCAACCAGCGTTGGAAGCCCCAGATATTTATCGTGAACCCCCACCGCACCAACCCCGAGGATCGTGGCCAAGAACTCCTGATCCTGCGTGGAAATATTCTTGCTAAAGCACACCGCCGATTTTCCCAAGTTAACGCGTTGGCCACTCAATTCCTCATATTCATTCAGCACTTCAATTAAATTTTCGCACTCCTGTAGGGACCCTCGCAAAAATAAGTACGAATCATCCGCGAAGAACATATGCGAGACTCTTGGAGCCCGAGGAGCTACTTTCACCCCCTCTAATTCACCCTCCGCGATCGCCTTTCGGAGGAGGGCTGCAAACCCCTCCGTCCAGAGAACAAACAAGAGAGGAGAGAGCGGATCCCCCTGGCGAAGGCCCCCAGAGGCAGTGAAATAACCCGAGGGTGTACCATTTCAGAACCGAGAAAGAGGAGGATCGAAGGCATTCATGTATCCATCCTTGCCATACTGAATTAAAACCCATCTTTTTCCAAAACTGCAAGAAGAAAGGGCCATTCGACTCTATCATAGGCCTTTTCCATGTCAACCTTCATAGCCATGTACCCCTTCTTCCCTTGCTTTTTTATCTTCAGATAATGCATTAGTTCAAGTCCTATAAGAATGTTATCAATAATCTGTCGTTCTCTGATAAAGCCATTTTGACCTTCCGAGACGATATGAGGGAGCATGCTAGCCAACCGTTCAACCATGATCTTGGTAATCACTTTGTAAACAAACTGGCAGAGACTAATCGGGCGCAATTGTCTAATTGTTTCCACCGAGTCCACTTTAGGGATCAAAGTGAGCCAAGTATGGTTAAAACTTCGCAGCATCCGACTCGAGATAAAGAAGGAAATTACTGCCTCAACCAATGAAGTGCCCACAATATCCCAGAAAGCTTTAAAGAACTTCCCTGTGAAGTCATCCGATCCGGGGGCCTGTTTCGAACTCATGGAAAAGACCGTACTCCGGACCTCGCTAGGCAAAACCTCCACCGTCAATTGCGCATTCATTTGCGGAGTAACACTATGGGCAATCGGCAGATTTGCCACCCTCTCATCCATATTAGGAACCTGATTTTCCGAGGTAAACAAGGTCTGGTAAAAGTTGGTGGCAATAGAAGCCTTCCTGGTTTCCCCAGTGACCCATTCACCATCGTCATTTCGAAGTCCGAAAACGAAATTCCTCTTCCGCCGAGCCCTCGTGACCGTATGGAAGTAGGCAGAATTTTGATCTCCTTTTTTTAACCATTTAACCCTAGATTTCTGCTGCCAGAATATCTCCTCCGCTTCCCACTGGCGGGAAAGCTCCGTTTCCAGGGTCGTGATCTCATCTCAATCCACCGGATGGATCGACTTTATCCTGTCAATCTCAGCTTGGAGCGTCTTGATATTACGCAGGGAATTAGTTGTGCCCGCCCTGCTCCAATCATAGATCAGATGACGGAGTTTCTTCAGCCGCTCCCACAGTCGAAACATAGGGGTGCCTTGGATCTCCTCCTGCAAGACATAGTTGACCATGGCCCTTACCTCCAGATTATCCGCCCAACGGGCATCAAAACGGAAAAGGGGTCGACTAGTACGAACATATGGTTTATCAGCAAGGAGAAGGGCACGATGATCTGATCCCTGATCCGTGAAGTGCTTGACTAAAGTCTCCGGGTATGTATCGATCCAGGACTGAGAGCAAATCGCTCTATCCAGACGTGCACGAATGCAAGCATCGCCCATGCGTTTATTTGTCCAAGTAAATTGATCCCCTTGGTAACCAGGGTCATGGAGACCCAAATCATGAACAAATTCACGGAGACTAAAGGCTTGGGTAGCATTCCATGCCCGTCCCCCATCTTTTTCACTCTCATGAAGCGTAGCATTGAAATCGCCTATGACTACATAAGGGTGGTTGATATTCGCACACACGTTCCGCAAATGAGCCAATTGGGTAGCTCGAATAGCAATGTTACAGCTAATATAAACAAAGACCACCACATAAGAAAAATCTCCTTCATTAATAAGCGAAATCAATTGAAAGAATATAATAATACTGGGTTGGAAGAGTTCATTGTAGTTGTAGGCTTGTAGCCACTGAATAATGAAGTTAGGACTCTCTCACAACTCGAGTGTGAGCATATGAGGTTGGATTTTTTTTACTTTTTTCTTTTACTTACATGTGAAAAACAGAGTGGAGCCCCCTTGGTTCGATTCAACCAGTGTCTTTCTTGACAAGATACTTTTAACCCAATAAACAAAAAAAATTCACAAATCCCACAATTTTTACTGTCAATTTTTTAACCCAAACAAACACAAAATTAATTTAAAAAATCCATCACATTTGAAATTTGGATAATGAGCCCATCATCCAAATCCAACAAACAACTCTAGCATAGAAATTCGAAAGGGATGAGAGTTAGCTAGCGCGATCTCTGGGCATCGTACCTGAAACGGAAATGATCTATTTTCCGCCGCATTATCCGTTGCTTGCCAAGCTGAAAAACAGAGGATGAAAGCAAAGCAATGGAAAGCAAACAACGAACAAGTTGCATATTGGGATTAGGTCTGCCTCTTTACTCTTACACACACGATTCTACTTTCCAAGGCTAACTAGCTGCTGCTATACAAAAACAATCTCTCTTATTTTTTCTTTTGGTTTCTGCTGCATGCGGACCACCTCTTCTTCTCAACACTCAAACTTTACGATACATCCAAAGTTAACTCTTCTTGGGTTGCCGTGCAACCGCAGAGCCAAATATCACAACGGAAACGTCCAAACAAAGAAAAGCCTATTCAAAATGTTAAGGACTGAATAACCGTACTTTATCATCGGTTCAACCCAAAAAGAAAAATTGTTAAACTAAATCAGTCTACGTATAACAGTACGAAACATTTGAATCACTATTTTAATATAAAATATTCTTATTGTTGATTTTTCCGATTCGATTTTACAATCGTTTGGGAAAAACAAAACCTTCGTCATTAAGTTTCTGCATGCAAAACACTATCAATAGTACACAAGACGAAGAAAGCTTAATTGATTTCCCCTCCTATGAATAAACAATTGCGGAGAAACTAGGTGCAATTATATACCTTTTTCTAAAAGCGAAATACATTATTATTATTATTATTATTATTAATCAACATAGTTAACCTATTATTATAATAATACCATCTTTTTACAATTTGACGACTCAATTCTTCGACGGTAATTATATATCTCACAACAACACCCTAACCCTCCTAACGAAAACTATTGAACAATAGAAACAACACTAAAAAATAATTAAGAGAAAAATCACCCCCCTAATTAATCGACCGCCTTCTTCTTCTTATTCTCAGTAATCCTGGCGAGAGACTTGAGGTTGCACCCGATGATGGTATCGGCAAACGAACACGTGTCCGCCTCACAGCTATCCTCAGGCACATCCACAACGTACGACTCGATCACCACCGTCCTCGCCGCCGCCCCCTCCTCGTCATGCAAGGTGGTGGTGGAGCGGTAGTTGACGAGCTTGTGATCCCCGCCAATGTTGCTCACCACCATCACCTTGAGGTCGTCGTCCAGCCGGTCGAGCCGCTCCAGGCTGGTGTTGGCCGGCAGGCCGGAGATGAGCCGGACCTCCCTGACGCTGCCGACCCCGCCGTCGCCGGCGACCAGGCTGCAGCTCTTGATGAAGCCCTTGTAGGCCTGCGGGGCGTCGAAGCGCCGGATCACGGACCAGACGCGCGGCAGGGGCGCGTCGATGACCTGGACGATGCTCGAGCCGCACTGGTTCGGCGCCAGGGCCGGCTCGTGGTACCGGGTCATCATGGACCGGGTCTTCGGCGACCGGGTGCCCGATGAAGGACCCGGCTGCTGCTGCCCTCGAGCCGGACGGCGGCCGGTGTAGACCGTTTGCATGGATTCCGATTTGTGGGGTTGTGTCTGAAATACGAGCGAGCGAGCGAGCTGTTGGGCAGTCGGTTATATATGGTTTGTTGTTGTTGTTGATGATGATGAGATGTGGGTTTTGTGAAACTGTGTGCTTTTTTGATGGCGGGCTTGAGAGGTTTTGATGGGCAAAATAGTTAAGAGAAGAGAGGGAGAGAAATTGGTTGGTTGTGGGCTGGCGATGATGCGAAGAGGGAAGTGAGATGCATGCTCTCCCTCTCTCTCTCTCTCTCTGCCTGCTCAAAGCTCGAATGTTGTTTTTGCTAACATCATAGGGAGAGCTTTTTGTCCTTTGTGTTTGGGCTTCTTTAAGAATGGTGTCTGTGGGCACGCAAGTGAAACTTTTTTTTATTGTTATTTGTTTGGTTTGGTTTGGTTTGGTGCTTTTGGTTCTTCTTTTGGACTGAGATGGATAAGGTTCAATGTGGTAAAAAAAAAAAAAAAAAAGACTAAATGGCAAGAGTCGGTGCTACTTTCTTGAAATTAGTCTTGAGGATCCGAACTTCTGCTCTTAGGGAGAAATTTGCGGTTACCTGCATGATTCACAGGAAGAGGAGAATGAAAATACCGTATCATACAAGAGTAGTAGGGGTGTGTTTTTAGTTTCTTTTCTAGGCGTTAAGAGTGGTTTGTGAAAGAGGGGGTGGGGGGAAGTAACAATTTATCACCTAAAGCAAGTTAATTATGATTATAGTAAAACTGATTAAGGATGTGTCAGGACAGTGGAAATATCGCTAAATGTCACCGTACATGCATTGGTTCCTTCCAAAACTGCTTCTGAACTTGTTTGTCGTCTTCATAAGTTTCTTTATGGCAGGAAATCTGCTAGTCGTGGTACTGATATGCCGAGTTGACTTTTTGTATTGATTAGCTGTGGATTTTCTCGCTTCCGTTCACATTACACCGTGTTTGCCAAGCGAAATTAATTAGGACTCTAGTACCATTGCATTGCAATCTATATAAATTAAAAATTTGGAACCTATGGGATTGGAGATTTTGAGAAGGTCAAGTGGGTTATGGTCTCTTGAGGAAAGTATGATTCTTAGAAGTTCTCTCTGACCATAAGCTAATGGATAATAAGCCGCATTAACAGGGGCTCCGCGCCATCTAGTTTGGCACTCAGGGTTAATTGTATGGCAACGCTTTTCGAGAATAGCAAATTTGTGGCGAGGATTAATTAATAATTAGGAACAAAGGAGTCAGCTCCTTTTTCCAGGAGGGAAAAGAAGTAAAAAAAAAAAAAAAAAGTTCCCTCAGATTCTTCCGCAGGTGGGAAGGCAGATGCAATGAACCCGTTACTTTGACCCCACGGCCCGCGCGCACACAAACCTTGTTTGTAATCGTACGTACATCAATCAGAAAGCCAAATTTAGGGATATCAAGTCGAGTCCTATCCTACCGGATGACAGCCAAAAGTCCAGATTTTTCCCCTACTCAGCACAAGAGAATTAAGGCGTGGAATATAAATACACAAAATTCATGGCTTCAAATTGGCCGATCTTGCGGCGATGAAGGGGTAAGCAAATCTAGCTAGCTAGCTAGCACATTTTGTATTTCCAGGAAGAAGGATCGATGATGCATGAACGAGCCTGGCTTACAGCAGGGTCCTTATCATATCATGCGCTAAGCTAGGTCACGTCAAGTTTCATTGGCCACCAATCCAGATTGGAAAAGGTCGTACCCATCTATGTCATTCGCAACAAAATATATGCACAACCTAACAATTTAGAGATGCCAATGGGTTGCCTTATTGGGTAATTGTATTGTACCCAATTATCGTTAGTTATATGGGTATAATTCATAATTGGACACCCATACGGTCTTATTTGCACTCTTAATAATTTTGGGTTTTAGTTGAGTTTGTTTTGGGTCAATTCATTTGGATTCACCCAAAACAAGGATCACGAATAATTCGTGTTCTCCCATCAACTTTCAACAATTCATCATTCATGTTTCTTATACAATAATTTAACAGATGCGTGTATCTTTTGATCTAACAAATAGAAGTGAATCTCCTTTTGATCCACCAGATAAACGCAGGTCTCGCATACTGAGGTTAGCAAATGTGGGTCCACCAAACTGATGTCCACCGTCTTGGAACCTGCACTCCGAAACCAGCCTTTTTGTATAAATGAAACCATGCTTTGATTCTTTTCAAAAGGAAAAAAAAAACATGCTTTGAGGGAGAATTCACTTTGGACTAAAATCGGGTACTTCATTAGTACGATATTCTCCGCTTTGGACTAATCCTGCACAAATTTGTTTTTGGGTATCTTCTCCAAAATGGCGCGTACTAATTGGGCTAGGTGAACACTAATATACAAGGGTCTTTCACTTGTATCTCCGATTTGGTACTTGGATTGTCCCGTTAGAGAACTCTTAAACTAAACTCTAAATTAATTTATAAATTAAATACTCTAATATGTACATGTCATGTATGATACATGTGATTGATTTCATGATGAAAAAAATAATGGTGAATATTTCATCTGATATCATGTTCATATACTTTGTTGGTATCATATTATTTAGTTCATAATTTTAAATAGCTCTTATCATGTTATTCAATAGTAATTAGCATCTAAGAAAGCTGCACATATTTTCTCTTTGGAATTATAATTGAGACATATTTGCTCACATGTTCAAAGTTTTAAACATCATATGTGGTGAGATATATAGTTTAATATATCTCTGAATTATCAACCAACCAACTAATAAGACATAGATTGATTTACTCATAAGCTAATAGTCGAGTTGGCTAGCCACCCTTGAAAGAGTGCATAATAAATCACTAATCGGTCGCTCTTGCGACGAAGTTGAACGGGGTTAAGCGATCTCCCGAAGCTGTGAGATGTACAAATATATCGGTAGGGGAGTGTTCCTGCTCATAAGCTAATAGTCGAGTTGGCTCGCTAGCCATATAAGCATCTCATGAGCACAAAATGAGTCAACTCACAAGTTGAGCTCAATAAAATATCGAGTCGAACTGGCTCACTGGCCTCACAAGCTGAACAAGACTTAGTTCAAATTCAACTCGTTAAAATACAAGTCAAGTTTCGACAAGTTTTTATGAATCTAACATCGAGTCCCTTTTCAACAACTCAGCTGGGCAGGCTAGTGCTAAGAGCAGCAGACTACCAATTGAACTAATGGGGAGATGGTAATGTATGCCCTGGATGGTCTTCGACTGTAGGAAGGCCATCAAGGCCAGCGCCAACGCTGGAGAAGTCCCTTTGTTGTTGTTCCGTTGCTGGTTGTTGTTGACATCCATCGTTTCAATTTCCCTTCTTGTTGGTGGGCTTATTATGAAGAAGACGGAGATAACAGAGATTTCCCAGCTTTTGTATGGACATAAACTTTTGAGAGGAGAGGAAAGGAGAGAAGAGAGACTCTACTGAGTCTATAGTCTATACCAAGGGCCTAAAAACCGTACCTGCAATTCGACTAGAAAACTTACTAAACTGGTATACACACTGTACAGTAGAACCTGTTGGTTTCAAAGACCAAACCAAACTTTTAAGGACCCTTGCCGATTTTGGTCAACTGTTACCCAATAGTTCGGTTTCGGTTACAAGGAAATGCTGCCTCACCGAATATCTGGCTATCCAAATGGACCGGTTTAGCACCTACAATGTAAGTTAAGAGATTCACATACATGATAAATATAACCTATCACAAAATCAGTGCAGCTCGGTTAAATTGCAATAGACGACTGAGCATCAAAGAGCGAACTTACTTCAACACAATCAGATCACTGGATCACAGAGATGACGAACCAGTACAGCCTTGGAGCCAAAATAGTTTGTTCAGTGAAATGAAAAGTGTTGCACAGAAGTCAAAAAAGAGATGACGTCAAGCACAAGTATTTACTAACTGTACCATCTTATAGTCATCAGGAGATGGAGCAGGATCAATGAACAGTTAAACCACACAATCATTGGCCCCATGACCATGAGTAGGAGAAATCGTACCAGTAGCAGACTCTGGCACATAGAAACCCAAATCTAACTTAACACTTACTCTAATATTCAAACTGTCTAGCAAACCTCAAATCAACAGCCATGAACTCCCACTAGTTAATCAGCAACTCAGTACAGCCAATTTCAAAATTTGTAAGTACGTCAGCCACTGAGTATGAAAAACACTGATATATCATAACCCAAAGTGTAATCTTGTAAAGACAGACAGAAACCAGTAACCATGTTTCTCCTTGTGACAACAGATAGAATAGAACTTGTTTTTCCCCAATGGTAGTATAAGAGATCTGTAATCCCCCGAAGTTATTTACATAATGGTTCCTCTTTCCTACCCATAGTTAGCATGCATCTCCCCGGGTCATACTTGAGCATCACACCGTAGACCCCCATAGACACGAATTGAACTCAAAAGACAACATTTTTGCATCACTTCCAGTTCAAGGAAGGGTGCCCGTTTTCATTTCTAGACATAAGCTATATAAAACAGGTTGCAATGATGAATCAGCTATGCACCTTCCATTACTCAATGAACCCAAACTTGGGAGTCAACAGAAAGTCTCAGCATGAAATCTTATTGTCCTTCCCACAACTGAAAAACTGATATAAATGGGATCGGTCAATAGGTAATCAATCAACTATTTAATCAAGACAGACACAGCCCTTCTGAATTAATCTCACATTTGCGTTGCTGCAAAAGAAAACAACAGAGGTGTACTAAACTCCATCCTGAACAAGTATGACATTTGAACACATCCAGCTATTGCAATTCAGTAATTTTTGCATCCATGATTCAACCCCACAGAACAACAAGGAACAGATACTAGTACAGAGACCAAGACCACTACCCCAAAGTTTCAAGGCCCTCTAGGCTCAGTTCCATGCTGCCAGACGAAAACCATCTGGTCCCATCCAGTACTCGCAACCAGGCCTTCAACAAGCACATTGAAGTCCACCCCAATAGCAAATTCAGAGTGATGATCGTACCTTCCAACCAGCGAATCTTCCACCATGAAATCCCACATACACACAGTCATGTCGTAGGAGCAAGACATCATCAAGTTGCGATGGTGCGGGGAGAATTTCACCTTCCTGACCGCGAATCCATGGCCATTCAAAGACGCGATGGGCACCCTGTAATTCCTCACATCCCAAACCCTAATGCTCTTGTCCACCGAGGAGGTAGCAATCAAGCACTCGTCGTACTTGTTCCAATCGCAGTACAGGATCTCAGCCTCGTGGCCCGGGATTATCATCGTGGATCCCGGCTCGCGCACATCCCAAACCCTCACCGTGCAATCGCCGGAGGCAGAGGCGAAGACGTCGGCGTGCCTCGGGTTCCACGCCACCGAGTAGACGCAGTAGGCGTGTTCCTTGAAAGTACGGATGCTGGCGGGGCGGTCGAGCGACCAGAGCTTGACGGTGTCGTCCCAGGAGGCGGTGACGAAGGAGTCGCGGCGCGTGGGGTTGTAGTCCACCCCGTGGACTTCGCGCGTGTGCTCCTGGAAGGATCGGAGCGGGTTCTGCGGCGGCGGGAGGTTGGTGTCGAAGAGCTTGACGGAGCCGTCGGCGACGGCGGCGATGAGAAGGGAGTCGTGGGATTCGGACCAGGCGAGATCGTAGACGCCGTCGGCCGTGTCGAAGGAGATGATCTCGGTGAGGGCTCCGGTAGGGGTTGGGGGAAGGGAGAAGACGTGGACGCGGCCGTTGCCGATGATACCGAAGTTCTGGGCGGTGGCGACGGCGAGGCGATCCTCGTAGAAGGGGCTGAATTTGACGGAGTAGCCGTTGAACGGCGTTTTGGAGACGTTCATTGTAGGGATTAGGAGACGGTGGCGATTGGAAAAGAAGGAAGGATTTGGGAGCACCTGTTCTTCCTCTTCTGACTATTTAGCTCAGCCTCGCACAGGTAATGGTAATTGGAAGTTATTGCGTTTCTCGATAAACTGGATCAAATATAAAAATCACGGCCCGATCCTTGAAATGGGCTCGGGACCAGTCTCCAGATTGGGTTTTGGGCTGCAAGGAGTATCTAAATTCTAAATTGAGCAAGCTTCGTTTTGTGATGGGCCAATGTTCTCTGGGCCATTTGCCTCTATAGCAGTTTGGGCCCAAATGTACTTTTAGTTGCCCACACGGGTGTTTATGTAACGGTTACATTAATGCACTTAAAATTGAGAAATCCCAATTATAAACGCTCAAATTAGTCTAAAAATTCACCTTTCTCAATCCAACTTAAAGTAATTTCGTTAGTACAATCAATTTAAAGTATAAAACATAAACTTCTCATACTTAACCAATGTGGTACTAAATTAATGTTTATGCGTAAACACCAACACGAGGAAACATCTAAAATATGGTGAGATGAGTTAGGTTTTTCGGGTAAAAAGGGAAGAACCGCTTGAGTTAAATCCACGACATAGACATTGAAGAATGTCATACCTCTTTTAGGGGACTGGGAATTTGTTAGATTTTAATTGTACAAAATCAAATGACAAATCCCTTTGTCTAAGGTAGGGGCCCCCCTCCCCATATTTCACATGCTACTCACTAAAACACTCCTATATCTCACCAATTTAACGGGATGGGCCATCTTATATATGGCTTTGATGGGACATTGCATTACCGCAAAACCAGACTATATGCCTTCAATAATCTTCCCATTTGAACAGTTTTAAGCACCTTATTGTTTTGTGTTGTTGTGCAAATCCAAAAACCAACAAGAGAGTGGCTAAAAAACGTTCCATTGACCAATAATATGATGGGCCGATTAAGATCATGTTTTAGAGTAGGCATTGAACAACCAGGAAAGTAAGATCTTTCTCCAATAACCCAAACTAAAGGTGATACGTAGACATTGGAGCCTAGCTATGGATCAGCTTTCCTTCAATAAATTTCGTTTCTGGGACAAAACATCTATCATCAGTTTTATGAGTTTGGTCGGGAATTGTGATCTAAACGGCCATCTTAAACATATATATGATGAGGTTTCAAAATAAGAAAACATACATATGATGAAAAGAGTTCACTTGTCGGGTTAGAATAAGAACTAGCTAGGTAGTAAAAGGCGGTAACACTCAATATTAACATAACCTTTTTTAAGCTTAATGTATATACGGTATCAATTTCATAACAAGGACTATGAAGTATCACATCGTAAATTAGTAGTACGAAACCTTTTGGAAAAGAATTCAAAAGTAAGTTTGAGTGAACTTGGCCCAAAGCGAATAATATAACACTAATTGTGTGACCTGGTCTTAACAACTAGTATCAGAGTCAGATCAAGGACGGTGGATTTCAGAGTAGACTTCATTCAGTGACCTCAAAATTTCAGATTTGCATTTGTCTGGCGGATTGAAAGAGATTAGTATTTGTCTAGCGGACAATATCATACTAAGTGAAAAATTTCTATAAAACATTTTTTGATGTGAGGATTGTTATAAGTCAATCCAAGTACCACATCGGACTTACAAGGGAAAGAACTCCTGTATATTAGTGTTAGGGCTGAAAATTGCCCTTGACCCTAGACCCGCCCTTGATCCTGTGTGACCTACCTCTGCAGGTCAAAATAAAAAACCAACCAACCCCGCCCCTCATTCCTTTTTTACCCTCCCTGACCCATTAGGGTCGGGTCGAGTAGTGGCGGGTCAGAGGGTCGACCCTGTGCAATCAGAACTGTTTTAGAAAAATTATATTTTGGTACCCAAAATTATTTTTTTACAATTTATTACCTAAATTTTAATTTTTTGTACAAATAAGTCCAAAAAATTTGGTGGAAAATTATGTTTAGGTACCTTTATATTTTGTCTCTTACGTTATAGTACCTAAACTTTTAAAAGAGTACAAACAATTCCAATATGTTGGTATGAGGAGTTTCAAGACATTATGGGTCATACGGTCAAAGTGACCCGACCCTAAATTGACCCTGACCCTGTCCACCCCACCCCGACCCTAACCTGACCCACCCCTAAACTGATCCTATAGATAAATTGACACGTCCGGACCCTTAGGGTTAGGGTTGGGGCGGGGGCGGGTCAGTGGGTTTTTAGGGTCATACTTGCAGCCCTAATTAGTGTTTATATGATCCCAAATGGTCCATTATACACGTTTAATTTACTTGATGAAGAATCTAACGAAGTTGGGAAGAAGAAGGGCAGAATTTGGCTAAGTCAAAATCCGTGTTCAGGGTACATACTTTGGAGGAATAGTTCTCTCAATTGGCTTGATGGAAATTCAAATCTAAGGGTTTGTTTTGCAGATAAAGTTGCCATATTTCCAATGGTATGCTTTGTGGATCCAGATGATGTCATTAAGGTTGTTTTCCAAGTTCTCAAAGTTGCTACCTCAAAACTGGAAAACTGCCAGAAAATGGCTATGGCAGAAAACTGTGTCGAGGTACCAACTTTGAAGGCCTATATATGGAGTTTGGAGAATGATCTCTGGCTGATTCAAGTTGGAGGTGAAAGAGGGAGTTTTCTTCTACAAATACAAGGAAATTGTTGAGTTTGAATCATCCTAGAAGACCATTTTCGAAGGGCTCAAAGATGTTATGAAGCTTGTTTTCCTAGGCAGAATTGCTTGTGTTTAAGTCAGTTTCATGGCTTGCAAGTTACCTTGTTTTACACGAATTCTTTAGCCTTTACCTGTTCTAATTAGTTTCCTTGTTAGTTTAGAATTGTATTAGGTTTTCTTTGACTATTAACGCCCTCTAGTATTCGTTGTAATGGAGATAGAGTTGATTGAATTGAATAACAAACCGAGTGTTTGAGTTATTGAGTTGCGTCTCGAGAGTTTTACCATTGTCGTTAGCTTCTAGTGGATTCATTAGCTAATTACAAGACCCTTGTGATGCTATTCTGAGTGGATTCCGGAATCGTTTAGCAAGTTCTCTTATCAATCGATCAACCACCTCGATTGTGGCGAGAGTTCTACCTATCCATCATCTATCGTTCGATTGTTTGTGTGAGCTGCGTATTCTGATCAAAAGCACCCCCTGGTGCTTTATAAAGTGTTCACCTTGTCCAAATAGTAAGAGATATTTTTCAGAATGAACCCAAAAATAAATCATTTGAATTGAATCAAAGCGGACAGTATCCTAATAATGAAAGGTTCAACAATCATATTGCAATCATTATTATTACAATTCTATGTCGTGTCCGGGGTTTTTTAATTTTTTCGTTTCGACCGGCCAATCCGGGTTAGTAATCCATGATTATGACTGATTACAAAAGTTGGCATTCACCTTGATTTGGCCGTGAAGTGTCCTCCGTTTTTTTCATGCATCCGAACAAAATGTCCACCAAAATTCAACTGCCCAGGTCAGATATATGATATGATCCACCAGCTCCATTGGATCCATCCCCCATTGAATTCGGCTACTGCTTGTGCGGATGGACCCCGCTCCCCCACCCCAAAACCTGTTGTGGGCCTGGCCCATAAAACATGTCAAATACTGATTGGTACACGTGGACCCGTCGACCAGTTTGCTGCGATGTTGATGAAAGAAAAGGGGGAAAAAATAGACTTTGACGTCCATCGTATGAAAGATGGTGCAATTGGGGGAACTGGGAAGGAAAAGAAAATGATGATGGAGGGATCCAAAAGGAAAATTAAAGGGTACAGAATAAGGTGCAATTATTCATGCCATGAATTTCATTCCCCAAGCAAAAATATATATGGTCATATACTCATCACACACGCAACAGAAGAATTTCACTCCTCTCTCGTCCTCACTCTACTCCACCACCAATCATAATTCATGTGATAGGAGGTATGGTTGTCATATATGTAGGGGTAATGACATATCCATCGATCGTATTAGCAATTACGTCTCTCAGAGGCCGGAGCATATTACTGAACCAAGTCGAGCACTCTGTTGCTGCATGTTTATTATTATTATTATTAGAAATACCAAATATACAACAATTATTTGATATCAATATGAATAATACATTCGATCGCACTTGGTGGAGAGATAGCATCAATCCCCGAGACATTTGATGGAAGGATAGTTTGCTTTTAGCACATGGAAATTGGCTTTGTAACAAATCCTAGTTCACGTTGTTGTTCTTTAGGTTACCAACAAACTTCTAAGTTAGTGACATATATCAAAGTTAAAAAACCAAGTTCTAAATATTAGGTCTTGATGGTCCCATGGTTATTTGACCTCCTCGATCTCCTTTAATGAAGAAGAGTAATCTTATGGATACAATTATCCCAAAGAAAAAGGGTAATATGTATTTCAACCGCATGCAAATGCATTATTACAATGTTTCAAAAGTCCACATTATTGCATGAGGGTGGTAAAGGATTAATATATAAACTCAAAAGAATTTGAAGGCATGACTTTCACTTCTCGTGAGTTTGATTATGCTTGTAACCTGAGTTTGGATACCCTCGGTTTCTTCTCTATTGCATTCTTGAGCTAAAAAAACGGTGAAAGGGCCATGTTTAGGTTACCAACAAACTTCTAAGTTAGTGTCATCATAACAAAGTCTAAACCCAAGTTCTAAATATTAGGTCTTGATGGTCCCCTGGTTATTTAACCTCCTCGATCTCCTTTAATGAAGTAGAGTAATCATATGACAGAATTATCTCCTTAATAACCATGGTGATTAGTGATTACTACTTCATAGTAATCAACATAATCGCTCTCGTATTTCAACTACATGCAAATGCATTATTACTATGTTTCAGATATCTAACATCATACATAGACTAGCATTATAGCATGAGATTGGTAAAAGGATTAATAAGTAAACTCAAAGAATCTAATATCCAACACGCACTAGTTATTGCACACTTGTTGTCTTTCTCGTCCATATGAGAAACAAAAAAAATTCGAGTCTCCAATACTAGATGGGAAAACTATTGCGTTCCCTATAGTATGTTGGGGGTCGTGTGTCAACACTATGCAGTAGTTGAATTGTATAATCAGAATCGAACTACACATGAACTACACACACCTGGACAATAGTTCAGCTAGTATTGGAGATCATAGTGCGTAGCTCAAAAAGGAAATTTTTAATAAGTTCGCAGTGAAAATGTGTTACTTAGTGTCAGCAGTTCTCGTTTCCTTCAGTTGGTGAAAGTTAAAAGGTGGAAGGAACCAATCCTACAACGGACAACACATGAATGAACTATAAGCGTGGAATTAGTTAATAAAATAAAAATACATTTAACAAAATTTTCCACTTTCTCATAGTAGGTATATCCTAATATAAAAAGTTTGAAATGTATAATTTTCCACTTCTCATAGTTAGTAAGTAAGGAAGGAAGGAACATAATAATTAATATGTTTTAGTGTAAAGTTATCCTTTTTCTCCTCCTCCTCCCTTTTCTTTTTTCAATTAACAAGTGTGATGAAGTGACTGTTTCCCACACACACTCTCCCCTGTCCCCATTTCTTCTTCCTTTTCTAGCTAGCACCACACACACCATTGCATTATAGCAGCAGCTCCAACAAAAAAAAAATTAAACCAAAAGGAGCAGAAAGCTAAGTAAGCTCTCTTTCTCTCTATCCCTCTGCTTTCCTTCCTTCATTCCTTCCTTCCTTCTTCTCCATGAGAGTCTCTCGTAACCCGAAAAACAGAGCCAAGAGAAGAAGGAGAAGAAGAATCCAGTAGAGCGAGCGAGCGAACAGAGGAGATCTATATATCTAAGACCGTGATAATGAAGAAGAGCATCCGTTGCTGCATCTCGTGCATCCTGCCGTGTGGGGCCCTGGACGTGATCCGGATCGTCCACACCAACGGGCGCGTGGAAGAGATCAGCGGCTCCATACGCGCCGCCGACGTCATGAGGCTCCACCCCAAGCACGTCCTCAAGAAGCCTTCCTCCTGCAGCTCCGCCGCCGACCACCACGGCATCGGCGCCGTCGTCCCCAAGATCGTCATCGTGCCCCCAGACGCCGAGCTCCAGCGCGGCAAGATTTACTTCCTCATGCCCCTCCCGCCCGACGCCCGCTCCAACAAGAAGCAGCGGAAAGACCACCACCACAACCGGAATAATGTTGTTGTTGTTAGGCAGCAGCAGGCCGGTAGTAACATTAATAACCACGACAATCATAACAATACTGTAATTAGCAAGACCGATCATTCTTCCACATCGGATGTTGTGGTGTCGTCGGATGATCGGTACCTGAGCGAGATTATGTCGGAGAAGCAGAGGGATCACCGGCGGCGAGGGCGGGCCGGCGTGTGGAGGCCTCATTTGGAGAGCATTTCTGAGTCTGCCAGCTTCCTCAATGTCCCCACTACTCATCCTGATGATGATGATGATGATTCTTTTTAATTAAAAATGTTCAAGCGAAAACTACACTATTAGTTGGAATTATTAATTATTTCTCTCTGGCTATATTAATTGCTCTTTGTTTCTTTCATTTTTGTTCATCCATCAGTACTGCGCGTTTGGATACCGTAACGATACCTGCCTACCAACCATAATGCTTCTCTTTTCTGGCCGGTAACTCAAATTTCTGTTCAATCTTCTTCCTCTTTGTCTTCTTTTTTTCTGTTTGGCACACCCCTTTTGTCAATTTTGAGTTTACTGTGGACTACTGTAAGTAAAAAGAACAGAGAAAAAGAATCAACAACTGCAAGAAAAATGGGTTCGAGATTATCATCAATTTTTTCTTTTTTGAGAAATAATGATAAAATGTGTGGAGTTAAGGTAGACGAGGGAGTGGTGGGATCTCGATGATGAATCATGTAAGTAATGTGCAGAAATCAATGAGAGGGACTTGGAGGGTGATTCAGAAACTTGCTGTTTCCCAGGTTTATTTCTTTCTTCTCTTCTCAAGGCTCTTGATTTATGAGAGTCCAAAAGTGGAGTAATGATCATCGACGCGCAATTCAATTCTTCCAAGTAAAAATCTTTTCCTTTTGTAATGGGATTTATAAGATCCATGTAATGTTAATAAGTATATAGATTTTTGTTATACGATATTAGTTAGTGATAACCTGATAATTTAGATGCGATCGTCCTAATTCTTTTATCTGCTCGGTTGCTATTATTTATTCTTTGTTTAAAATATATAATTGATACATTATTATGAGTAATTTGCCAAACAAACCTTTAGTTGGTATAGAAGGGCCATGATCACCTTTAACTTCACCTCCTGACATAATGCTTACATTACATCCATTTCTTTTCTTCAATGGAGTAGCTAGGAGAAAAGAGATCAGGGGAGGAAAAAGAGTTATTCCTTTCCTCTTTCTTTATTCCGGCTATTTATCTTTTCAGGGCTCTTTTTAGTTTTCTAGTTTCTTGGAGGAATATAAAATAATATAATGTGGCTGAATAACATATCCCATACTTTCAGGTTGAACATGGAAAATCTGAGAAATAAAATCCAATTTACATCAGTATTCAAGGGGAGTGAAATCTAATTTGCAACATTTATATGGTGCATAAATATAATACATTCACTCCCACCGCACAATAGTACGAGACCATAATGAACTAAAACAATAACTAATTGTTTGATGAGATATATTTTATATATATATATATATAATCCTACATGGTATTATTCCAATAGAAAACCACTTTTCAACATGAGGCCTTTCTTGAAAAGCAGCCATTCCAAATTTTCATCCATGAATTCTGGGATTCACCCCATAATGTATATAAAAAACCCCTTCATTGATTAATTTAACCTACTTTTTTTTTCTAGTAATGATACCACAGAGACAAAGCAAATGTGTTGTAGCTGGAAAGACCCAAAGAGAAGTAGCTAGGTCATATCATGAAGTTACTACACAATTAATAGAAATAATATATACATTAAATGATTTTTATCGATTACTAATAGGAATGTTCATTAAGTCTGAATTTAATATTCTGCTCCTTCGCTTTCACGATTTTTTTTCCCCATTATTCATTGAATCGAAACATCTAACGTATCCATCCATCGAAGTCTCCCGCTATGTAAATTAATTACACTATAGAAAATAATGTGACAATGACATGTTGAAAAAGAAGCTAGCCAAGGTGAATCCTAACTCTTGATTGATCATATGATCATGCTCCAAGACCATATGTCTATATATATGTGTGCGATCTAGCTAGCTTTGATCCATTTTAGATTTCCATCAAGGTCCAGATTGACATCCCTGGATTTTCCTGTTCTAATCAGAAAGATATTTGATTGATTAGGAAGATCAAAGCAAAGTGACATTATATTGAAGTGGCTGTGGATGGAATGATAGTCCCCACATCACTTTTTTTCCCACCACAGAATATAATTAATAATGCAATAACAAGTGGGCTTTGGCTTGGCTGTATGAATGGATGGATGGACGTAGGGAGCATTGTCTTGAAGCAATTTGTTCTCTTTTTTCCAATTTGCCTATTTTTTATATACACAGGCCAGAGGGGAGGGAGGGGAGGGGATGGGTGGACGATGGTCGATGGGGATGATGATTATCAGGTGGGTACCAAACAACAACAGCACCTGTTGTGTAAAGTATGAAGTTCTTATAAAAGCAAACAGATTTTGACATCTACCCAAATATATATGTACCATTACTTATACGATAGTTCTCTAGCTGCCACATTTCTTTGCATCATATCATTAATCTTATATCTAATATATTTTGGTTTCCAAGACTAGGGATGGCAACTTTGCCCATACCCATGGGTTTCTTACTATCCAATTGGGTTGGGTATGAAATCCAAATAGATGGATATGGGTAGAGATTGATGGGTTTGTACCCATACTCATTTACTTTGGGTTGAGTTGGGTTTATATCAAATGGATTTGGGTTTGTCCCCATGCCCAAATACAAATTACAGTTTGGTACCCAAACTTAATAGACATGCATATTTAGTACCTAAATTTAATTTTTTTTGCATATAAGTCCTCAAAATATCGATGGAAAATTACGTTTTGGTACCTAAATTTTTTTGGTCTTACATTTTGGTACCTAAACTTTTCAAGTTTTGCAAATAGGTCCAATTTTTGCATGTCTAGTTAAAACACCCTCAAGTAAATGGATATCCATATCCAACCCATACCCATTTAGATTATGGAAGCAATATTCATACCTTACCCAAACTCATCTATAAACCCCCAAATCCATATGCACTTCACCCATACCCAACCCATTATCAATGGGTCTACTTGGGTTTGGGTATAATTACCCATGGGTGGGTAATTTGTCATCCCTATCCAAGACATATGTATATGTATAAGGGATGTGAATCATACAGATAGGTTGTTTTACACTTTGTTGTCGGAGATTTACGTGTCGGTCCGGTGCTATATACTGGCGATTCGTTTTCGTTGTTTTAGAAAAACGGACGCTGACGACACGTACTGAATTTCATTTACAAACAGATCGACTCATGGTAAAAACTCACGTTGGCGTACAAACAACCAGTGACGCAAGTTTGGGTCTCACACGTTGAACAGATGTGTCCCGAAAGAAAATGTGAGACATACTTTGATGAATCGGAATCGTCGGATGTTATTTTTATAGATTAAATGAATTTTATGGTTCGATATAGAGAATTAGGGGATGAGATTCATCCATTAGAGGGTAAGGTATAGAAACATGTCCCGAAATATGGTTAATTTTTGGTTTAAATGGTCAAACTCGTTATACATACAATATTGTGAACGCAAACGTATAGCATACGGCTAACGGACGCTAGCCCGAACCATATAAATATATATGCTAAGCATATGCCACCTTTTCGTATGCCTAATGAATTTCTCTATGTATAGCATGAGTTAATCGAATTTTGGGACATCATACTATACTCTAACCTCCAATGGGTGAACCTCAGATCCTAATTATCTAAAGTAAAATCATTCTAATAAATTAATTAAAATAATATCCAGTGATTCTAAATCTTTGAACTATATCGAAGTACATCCAATAGGTATGAATGCAGATATACGCTATCCTTTTATTTATATATAACTAGGTGGCGATGTCGCGCCTTGTCGCGGGGCGGAGATGGCCTATGGGCATGTATTATGTGACCCATTATGGTATTTTGTTAGTATGATTAGCCTAAAATTAATTTTTTGTTAGCATTTGTGTTAGTATTATTGACTTGACAATATGATATTGACTGAGAAGAGATATATGGCGGTCAACATCCAATTTAAACAATTTTGGTTAATAAATGATATTTACCTAAACCCAAGTAGACTCATTGATTATGGGTAGGTATGGGTGACGTATATATGGGTTTGGAAGTTTGTAGATGGGTTTGGGTAGGGTTTTGGTATTTACTTTCATAATCTAAATGTGTATGAGTTGAGTATGGGTACTAGGGGAGGGCACATCGGTGGTTAATCCGCAGATTGGTATCGATCTACCCGCAAATAACCCGACCCGCAAGTAGTGGGTGATTGATGTGGGTGGATTGCGGATTGATAAATCTCTCACCCGCACTTATGTGGGTGGGTGGTGGATTGCGGGTCACCCGAATGATCCGCATCCTATTTTCACATGAAAAATGTTGTTTTGACTACTATCATTGGTTATTGTATTACACATTGTTTTGTGTAATACCCATTAGATATGGGATATTGGATTGTAAGTTATTGTTAATATTCATTAAATATTAGGATGAAAACTTTAAATTATTAATTTTATCAAAATCACAAAATGTGTAAGTTTTCTCTACACAATTGGTAGAGTAGTAAAAATATTTATGCAAATACTAAATGGATTCACTTTAGGCAAAGTGAGAAGTGTTTAAATTGGTACAGTCTTACTAATGTACTATGAAATTATTATAAATATTAGTCAACTTTCTTAATGGCTAGTTGGAGAATTGCCTTTCCCGGTTAACCGACGACCCAACCGCACTCATCTGCCACCCATCCAACCCGGCCCGCAAAAGAATGTTGGTGGATTGTGGGTCACATGTATTCAAACTCACTAGTAAGCGGGTGAGTCAATTTGAAACGAAAACCCACTCAACCTGCCCATTGCCCACCCCTATGGGTACCCATTTGTGGTGTTTTAATTACACATACAAAAATTAAACCTTTGTAGAACTTCAAAAGTTTAGTACCAAAATGTAATACACAAATTTTTTAGGAACTTGCTTAAAATTTCCCTCCTTCAAATCCCATAGTGAAAAATGACGACTTTCTAATAAGTAAGAACCATATATATTTATTTTTAATTGGACTCGACATTGAGCTGAAAAATTTAGTGGTTCATGGTTCAATTATGAATTCTCTATACTGTTGGTCAGTCGTGTATGGATCCGTTCATACTTGTGATTAGAATACATAAAAATAGTATACTAATTGGGGTTAGAGGAAGAATGCAAAGAAAGGAGTAAAGAAAGGGTCATGGAATGCGAGTGAAAAATGAAACAAAAAAGAAGTAGATAATGAAAATGTTTTGACCAATTCTTTTAGTTGGTCTCGTCAATATAACAGTCAACCCTTTTCACCATAGCAATTTATCGACACTTGCTTATGTAGATGTCTCATATTTTGTTACATGTAGTCGGTAGAAGTTTGTTTAGTACCCATAAATGTACTAAATGAGTTTATAAATTCGCTTTTGCAATATTTTGGAGTCGTATCTCTTTTATCATTTATTTAATGTTTTACATAATGAGCAAATATAAAATGACCGAATCTTCTCCTACAATTGAGTGATACAACATCTTGTATGATACAAACGAACTTTATACTTTTATGTTATGATGGATTGGATTCATGGATTAGTTCAAAATGATTGGTGGATTGGATTCATAGATTCAAGTGAAATCTAAACATTGGACCAATATGTAAATTTAAAAAATTGTAGGCACGAAAATCTCATAAAATCTAGATACCAAAACATAATTGTTCAATGATTTTATATTAAAATTAAATTTGAGGTATCAAAATGTAAAATATATATTATAGTGACTAAGTTTTAATTTAATTAAATTTTGAATATCAAAATATAATTATTTATGCAACAGTAACCTCACTTTACGTTTATATATATAGTAACTATTAAATAACTATACTTCAAAGCACATCGAAATACATCTAATACTAGATGTTCATGTAATTCGAAAAGTTTTATGGGCAATGAATGTTTCTTGCATTCTTTCAAGATATAAAAATAAGTCACAATTGGTTATACATAAGGAAACTCGTATTAATAGGTTTTTTATTTTACTGATGAGTTACTTTGTTTATAGAAGGGTGACTTACAATTTTTTTTTTATAATTAGGTTTTACTCAAATAATTTGAGTTTAAGACATCAATGTTGGAACCTAATCATATTATCATTAGATCAAACCCTTATTTACAAAAGTATGCACTCATTTCAATTTTCAGACTGAATGTATTGTAATCTTCTATTTATCTTCCTATACTCCCAATTCCCAAATCCTTTTCTTTCCATGCTGCTTTTTACTCTAATTCTCTCTTATGTCCTTCCTTCAACACAAGCTTACAAATTTCACCTGTGGATTGCAATGCCCCTGTAATTGCCCCACCATTGAGGGGCCAATGGAAAGATGACAGAGATTTGAATGATTGGCAATCTGTTCTAATCCGCAATGACGAGAATGGCTTGTCAGAGTAGGCATATCAGGCCCTCACTTCCCCAACTCCATCTATATGAATAATAATAATAATAATAATGTACAATTTAATTATCTGCAGATGCAACTTTTTGTTATGCCATTGGTGGCGTAGCTCATCTACAATTTAATCCATGTAAATTGGTTCCAACATGTTGGAATCTACCAGGTTTGTGCTTGCAAACCCAAGCTTTAGTTTTCTGATAAATTCCTTTTAGTTTGATTCCCATGAAAGTTGAAACCCTTTAAAATACAGTTTAAAACACTCCATGGAGAGTTGACGATAAGATTAGAACCTCATAAAGACATGATATAAACACTCACACTCCTATAGTTGACAATACAGTGTGAATCTTCATATACAATACAATGTCATGTGTGATTTATTGTTATTATTCCAAAAGCTTTATTATTAATGTCAACACATGCAAACTTCTAGCTAGTGGCTTCTTTTAAATTTTTTTTTTTTTTTGCAAATACTTGAAATCCCTTTTCACTGTTCCTAATGATTTTGTTTTTGCCCTTCCTAGGTTTTCTGTGATGATTTCCCATCTTGGGAGAGGCTAGGTTAGCATTTAGGGTTGAAATCATTGGGCTGAAAGAAAATGAAAAGGAGAGGAAAAGGAGCTAGGGGGGAAAAGAAAAGGAAAGGGCAGGTTGTGAAAGTTGAGTTAGAACTTTGCACATAGCAGTAATATGAAAAATATTAAATTGGCGACTAAAGTGATAAGATATGAAATTGACACTGCGTATTAACACAGATTTATTTGTATAATTTCTGGTATTTGGTGATCATCTGCAATTTGTAAACTCCATACGACTCATCACATTCCAACATATGTTTTAGGATATTTTAAAATCGAAATCGTCTCAAACATATACGCGATGGTTCCCCTTGCATTACAGGAAAACATAGCAATATGGAAGCGTACATGGAGAAACAAATTAATAAATGTTAAACTAAGCAACATATGGGAGGTTGGAAAGTAGCATTATATTATTCCATCCATTGTCTGCCGACAAATGGTGGAGGGAGGGCTATATACCTATCTGCTGTGCTGAGTGAAGGGAAATTGTTTTCATTAATTTGATGGGACAACATTTCACGAGGCTATGGGGCCATAACAACAATGAATGGCAACAGAACAAAGCAAAGTTGCCAGCCCAGGGATCGATCGGGTGGCCATCTATAATTATTGATCACCAGAAGTTGATGGAATTATAATTATCTATATATATACGATCCAGAACTTTTATGCATTTCAGATCATGGACCCTGTTTTGCTGATCTGTTGATAAACTATATTTCATATATGATAAAATGGAATATCGAGTTATAGAAATTAATTATTTCTTGATGTGGTATCAGAGTCTTATATGAGTGAGAGGTATTATGTTTGAATCTTGATGACCCCATTTATTTCTGTTAACCATATGGTGTTTGGATATATGCTTGTGCAAATTCCAAACCTATATGAGATTGTTGGGGATATAGCTCGGATCCAGTCGCGCGAGTAAGATGGCCGAGCGAACTGTCCGCGAGTAAAGACACGACCGCGAATGATTGAAGCACCAGGCGGTGTCGTTTCGTCCAAACCAAGCCGACGTCGTTTCGCTTCACCAAAACCAGTGTCGTTTTGGTCCTGCCCAAGCCGTCGTCGTTTCGGTTAATCCGAACTAGGGAAAGAGAGCCGGGGAAACGGTGCCACAGCCTACGAAGGAAGGGTCACGTCCTAGGTCTAGTCCTAGGAATGATTATGACCTAAACTATGGCCTAAGCTTCTGACACACGTAATGGTCTTGTCGCATTAAATATCCACTTGCTGTAATGTACTATAAAGGGGAGCATTTACTACGGTAGGTGAGGGGATCGGACTTTCGACTCTCTCACTAATATACAACCACTTCTCTCACTAGAAATCTCGCTCTCTCATCCCTACTATCTCAAAACTTCCGGCCATTAACAGGTTGGATATTCACCTTGCTTGCTCTTCTCACCCCTCTTTCCCGAGCTTCACTCCTACACTCAGTTAGGCTCAAACAGAGATTATTGACATCAATTGATTTTTGACATGATCAAATAAATATATATTTCATGGCTTTTGAACATATATTAGTTAATTTGATTGGAGGGATTCTGGGGTACTAATACCAAGTTATAACTCACGTGTTTGATATAAGTGATGTCTAATAGTATGTCTGCTTTAGATTATGCTGATTAATTCATTTATATTTAGGCTTTTGAGATTTCAATAAAATATCTCACCTTTTTACTCGAAAGGTTCTACTACAATGTGAAAGATGAGAAATAATTTTCAAAAATTCGAATTATTAGAAGGGCGTGTTACATTACGAGGGACCTGTGTAATTAATTATGAAGATTGGCCTTGCATATCATTTACTATTGGTGTAGAACTTTCATTCTATATCGTTGAAATTAGAGCTGATAAAGTTTGTATCCAATTAATACTTGTCATCCATATACATGCATTGCGTTGTCATTTAATGATTTTAGTGTGCATTTTATGTTGAAAATATTATGTCACTGTCAAATCGACTATGGAATGACTCTTGAGTCATTACCGAGTATGTGGTGTGTTTGTGCGATGTTAGTGACACTTTTACAGAAAAATGAATTTCAGAGGCAGAAATGATTTGCAGAGATCTGCAGAGGCAGGGAGGAGAACTGAATTAGACTCAGTGCCAGCTTGGACGAAGCCGGCCCAAGCTGAATACTGATGGCCGGTAGTAGCAGCAAAGTGAAGGGAGCTTGGGCCAACGTCCCATTACATTTATCTTGTTCTATTTGGGACACGAGACGGAAGGGCCTTCTTTTGGGCTTGAGGAGAATGGGCTTGGACCGGTTTATAGGAGGGGATTGGAGAGGCCCTCTAGGTGCTGGCCGCCGTTTGGGACATGGAAATAGAAGGGGAGTAATGAACTGGACCAGCAGATTAATTGAAGGCCAATACTACGGTGCCGCTATAAAAACTGCGGTACTGGTAACGCCAATTTCAATTGGTCCACGTGGCATTGATGAAACTGATGTGGCATGGGCCGGCTTAATGTGTTAAAACCAAAAACTCCCAAACCAAACCCGATTAATGGATTTGTTAATAGATTGGCCAAACCCCTATTAATAGATTTGTTTGTTCGACAGAGCCAGTGGAGGAGACAAAACGAACTCCACAAGCACATCGTCGCTCCTCGATCCCCCATCTCCGGCGACGTCTCTGGCGTCGATTCAATCTCTAGAGTCTACCTAACGCATCCAATTAACCCTTCATCTTTTCCTCCTTCTACATCCAATGAAATCCTTCACCTTTAGCCACCTTCTGTGTCCATCGAACAGGAGCAAGTGTTGGGAGAGCTCGCGGTGCTGAGGAAAAAGACGAACAGGGCCGTCGCACAGTACCAGATGAGCCCAAGCCAAAGAAGAAGACATTGGCCCACCCGCTGTCTTTGCCTTTTGAACTCTGCATGTGCATCTGGTTTGGGGTCAAGTACTCAACTCCACTTTGGGCGTATGAGACAATGGAGGAGGATACAGAAGAGTCAGGAATGGCAGTGGACGTTGGATTCAATGGAACTTTCCTGTTTGAAACTTTGTGAATGTACTGGATATGGTCTTGGTGTTGTAGGTGTTTGATGCTGCTGCTGGCCTTGACCTTGAGCATCTTCAGTGAGATGGGTAAAAGAGTAAACAAGGACCAATGGAAGCTGAGCTGCCCCATGTGTATCTATGACTCGACTTTACTGTCACTCCAAGAATTGGCCAAGTGAAACCACTTCCTAAAGCGTAGTATAGCGGGTTTGGATTTAATTATCAACCCGGGTCCTAGATGTGATGACTACTCAGTGAATTCTTGTTATCTAGCAATAAAACTTTAATGCAAGTCTCAACTAACAAACTAAAAAAGCAAACAAACGGTTGTATTCAAGTTAAGGAGGTCACCCGGGTATGGTCCCCCCTAGACTGCAGTTAAGCCGGATTGTAATTACCAAGTTCAGTTTCTATGATAGTTACACTGCGGAAGGTTCTTAAACAGCCTGAAGTCTCGACTAAAGGTCTTCAGACCCTCTTAATCTGAATCTCTAGCGGGCGACTAACCTCCACCGGAGTAGACGGATTGAGGCCCTAAGAACAAAACCTCCACTACCGGAGTAAATCCGGTACAGAATAGTGAGTTGGTTCCTCGACTAAAGTCACCAACTCCCTACCTTCAATCAAGGATACTCTATCAACCTAGGCAGATATTCTCATTCTAGGTTAAAGCAGAAACAACAGGAATTTGATCAGGATTCAAGTCATTCAATCATTAAAACCTCAATCGAATATAATCAATCACAGAATCAGTACTTGGGTTCATACAATCAAAGCCTAACATACAAATCTAGGGTTCTCCATACCCAGATGAATGGGAGAACTACTCCATGGAGAAGAAAGCAAAAGCAGAATCAGACACGGAATTCATACTGCGAAGGACGGATTCCGGCTCTTGGACGTTGATTGGCACTTCTCCAAGCTCAAGCTGGCCTCCAATGGTGTTGAAGATCAATCTAGGGCACTTGGGAACTCTTGCTCGTCACTTTCTCTCTCTAGAAGTCGTTCTATCTCTCAAAAACTCGAATCCCCTTGAATTGTGGTTGAAAATCTGCTTAAAAGCATCAGTGGCCAAAGCACGGTCGAGGGCACGGCCGTGCTTTGCCTGACTCCGCCCGTGTCTCGGCCAGGGCTTAATTACACGGCCAGCAAGTGGGTTAAACACGGCCGTGCTTCGCGTTGGACACGGCCGTGCTTTGGTGGAATACGGCCGTGTTTTGGTGCCCGTGTTTGCAGCTGAATTGGCCAAACTGAATTTGCTCTCGGCATAAAAAGGACGGCCAGCAGTACACGGCCGTGTAATGCTTTAGGCTGCCCGTGTTTTGGCTCCAGCTCACCGAAATGACTTCCGAATGCCCCGAAACTCGTGGTTAGCCTTCCCTTTGACGCCTGGGACATGAAACATGACAAAATAGCACAACCCGGCGTAAAATAGGCCAAAACACACGACTATGCCCCTCAAACGGATAAGAACTAGGGGCGCAAACATGTGCATTTACATCGTTATCAAATTCCCCCACACTTAACCGTTTGCTTGTCCCCAAGCAAACCTAACTCAAACCAATGCAACTCTCCAGACCTCTATAGCAACAAACAACCCAGATCTTAGGCAGAAGACTTCCTAGATCATTTAGCAACTTACGAGGTCAACTGGCGCCGTTTAACGGATTGCTTGCTTACCAAGCCATCCAGGCTTTGCACTCCTCCCCCGGCACAAGTCATCTCATAGCTTCTTCGGCGAGTCGGCATCATGGCAAACAGTGAATAGAGGACAAATGAATTTTGGATGAAGAGATTCTCAAAACAAAGGATCATGGACTCACATTTTACAAGGTGCTCTATATTATTCTTGAAGATGGTTGGAACCCCCTTTTTTCTGTTTTGCTTGTTTTCTGTTTTTTTTCTTTTCTTTTCTTTTCAAGGGTCCCAACCTGCTCTTACCAGCCATGTCAGGAGCGGATGTCTCGAGCCTCGTGCGGGGGAAAGACATGTAAGGGGGCTGGAGGTAGTAGGTGGAAATTGGGAACGAATTCCCGTCTCCCCTTACACACTTTCGCCCTATTCGCACGGGAGACGTTTATTTTGAAGCACATTTTCGAGCACCTGTTATTTTCAAAACATGATACAAGAGTCCATGACAGGTAGAAAATCCACAACATCACACAATTTAAGGGTCCTAAGATCACTAATTCACTCAATCAACCAACACAATATGAAGAAGAAATGAGATTTCTTAAATGCATCAACATCCTCCATAGTGCTACACTACCTCCCTAGGTTGCATATTACTATAAAGACTGTCAATTCAAAGCATACTGAGCAGGCAATTGCATGAAAACACGTACTTGGAGCCCTCAAATTTAAAAATTTGGACTGTGGACTAGGCTCCAAGCACACAAACAGATCTAATGCAGTCAAAAGATAAACATCCCCCCACACTTAAGCTCGACATTGCCCTCAATGGAGAAGAGGGAAGGGAAAGGGGAACGATGTTACCGGTATGCACGGACTGCAGGGGACTGGAAACGGGCCAGTCGGGGCAAGCACAGCCAAAGGAAAACAGAACAGCTCAAACACAATATGTTAGGTTCAATGGTGAGCCCAATAAAATATCATCCAAACCAAAAGAAAACAAACCAAACCCAAACCGGGTTACAATCCGACTCAAAACACAAGAAAGGAAATCAAACCGTGGTGGGGTTGCCTCCCCACAAGCGCTTCTTTACCGTCGTATTAGCTGGACGCCCATGGTGGATACTCAGGGCGGTGCAGGAACAGGTGCCTCCAAGAGCGGATCCACGTCGCTCTTGAGGTACAGCTTCAGGTTGTGGCCATGCACCCGACGGATGCGACCACTATCATCAGTCAGCTCGACCTGCCCATCTGGCAAGATGCAGGCGAGGGAGTACCCAGACGGCCAGGGTGGTCGTGGTGCAGGAGGTGGGACCAGCTCATAGTGGTCTCCACTCTTCTTCCGTGCAGGCTTAGCAACCTGCTGCTTCGGCCGCCACTCCTCCTTGAGCTTTTTGTTCGGAGGCGAGGCTGGATGGAGTGGCGGCGAAGGAATGATAGGAGGGTCCTGCAAAATAGGAGGTGCAGAAGGATACACGACAGGCTCGTGTACCTGATCAGACATAGCATGCACAGGCGTGACAGCAATCATAGCACAGTGATCAAACTCAGTCACAGAAAAAGTAGCCTGTTCATTCCCAGCACGCAGGATCAATTTACCATCATGCACATCAATAAGTGCCTTGGCGGTGGCAAGAAATGGCCTACCTAGAATCAAAGGAACATCCACATCCTCATGTATAGCAAGAATAACAAACTCAACAGGATATGTGAATGCACCAACACCAACAAGCAGATCCTCTATGATTCCCCTAGGATGCACAATAGAACGATCAGCTAATTGAATGCTCATCCTAGTAGGGCTAAGTTCACCTAGGTCTAGCATTTTATACAACTTATATGGCATGACGTTAATGCTAGCGCCTAGGTCCGCTAAGGACTTTCCTACATGCATGCTGCCAATAGTAAGAGGGATAGTAAAACTCCCTGGATCCTTGCGCTTCTCGGGCAGCTTGTTCTGCAGGATAGCAGAACACTCCTCGCTCAGCATCACTGTCGAGAGATCCCCAAGTTTCTTCTTGTTGGTGCAGATATCTTTCATGAACTTGGCATACTTGGGCATCCTCGACAGTGCCTCCATGAACGATATGCTGATGTTGAGCTGCTTCAACATTGCCATGAACTTGGCAAACTCAGTCTCCAGCTTGTCTTTGTGTAGGCGAGTGGGGAAGGGAAGCTGGGGTACATGCTCCTTAACCACTGGTTGTGGCTTGGGAGCAGGGGCTTCCTTCTCCACCCGCACTTCTGCATCGTCGGCTGGAAGTGCTGAAGCAGTCAGTGGTTCCTCCTGTCTGGCCGGGACAGGATCAGCAGATATGGTCTTACCGCTCCTGGTAAAAATGGCATGCAGCTGCTGATGCTGATGAGGATCTCGAGGATTCGGGACAGTGGTGGCAAGCAAAGTCCCCGGTGCCCTGGTGGTGTTCTGGCGGGCCAAGATGCCCACCTGGGTCTGCAAATCCTGCAAAATGGCACCCTGGTTCCTCTGACCTGCCTCCAGTGAGGCTACACTCTAGTCCAACCTCGTGATAGTCGCCTGAGTGCTCGTCATGAATGAAGCTAGAATGTTTTCCAGCTTCGTCATCCTGTCATCTGGGGCTGGAGCTGCTGCTGGCTCGGCAAACTGGCGCTGGGGCTGCTGGAATGGCTGCCCCTGCCTAGGCTGGTAGGGCTGCTGTGGGTCTGGCCCCTGGCGAGCCTGGAAGGGCTGCCTCTGCTGAAAACCACCTGCTGGTGCTGGGAAACCAGGTGGTTTAGTGGTGTTGCTGCTCCAGGCGAAGTTGGGATGCTGGCGCCACCCCTCATTATATGTGCTGCTGTATGGATCGAGGCGCCTCGCATTGGCGATGAAGGCCAACTGCTCCTGGGGTGTGGTAGACTCCCTCATAGCCTGGCAGTCCTCCACTAGGTGATTGGAGCTCTCACACCACTGACACTGAGCAACTGGAGGTGTAGCCAAACCTCTGCCCGGAATAAGACTGTTGGGCTGCTTCAATGTCTGCACTAGCTCAGCTACCTGCTGCTCGAGCCCGGATCTGGTCTCCATGGCGTGCACACCACGGTCCCGGGACTGTCTGCCTCGGCTACCCTGTCCCCAAGAATGTTCTCTGGCAGCCAAAGTACTGATCATCTGGTTCAGCTCGGGTGGAGTCTTGGTAAGAATATCCCCTCCTGGGCATAGAGACTCAATCACCCTCTGGCTATCTGGCGAAAGGGCGCTGTAGAAGTTCCCCACTGTGAATGCATCACTGAAGTCATGATGGGAGCACTGCCAGAAATAGCCCATGTACCGCTCCCAAGCATCACGAAGTGACTCCTCTGGCTCCTGGCGGAAGTGAGTGATCTCCCGCTGAATCTCTGTAGTCTTCGATGCTGGATAGTACATGTGCACGAACTTGTCCGCCAGATCGTCCCAAGAGGTGATGGACAATGGGGGCTGGG